GATGCCTTCGGAAAATCTCAGAATCGATGCAGAATCATTTCTCGATTTGCGATGCATCGATTTATTGTCCCAGCCCTACTCCCAACTATGTTTCATCCCAAACCACTTGCTTGGGAGAATATTTTATTTCATTTCATTTCATTTTATTCTATCCCAAAACAGGAATAAAATGGGGGGAAAATATTTATTTATTTACCAGGTATATACATTTCTATTTAAAATATATATAATATATAGTAATTTATATTAACATTTATATTATAATATATATATATATATATATATATAGTTTATTTATTTGTTTGGTTGTCGGTTGGTTGTTACAGTACATAAACATTTCTTCTTAAAAAAAAAAACTCAAATAATGCTGTAAACTATACAGAAAACCCTGTCAGTTGATACATTACTATGATATTAAATGTTAAAATTAGACTATTAACTTGAGTCCAAACTATAAAGTTCAATTTTTTTGAGTCATATATTTATTTATTTGTTTGGTTGTTGGTTGGTTGTTTTTTTTTCTTTTGCAAAATGCATTGAACTGCTTATTTTTGAAGGGAAATGAATAACAGGGATGACATTTTAAATTACATTTTAAAAATATATTTTTATTTTTAACTGTCGTATTTTCATAGGAATGTAACACTATTTCGATATTTATATATGCTTCTATATCATGTATGTCATGTCTATTGCTCTTATTTCAGGTCAGACACATCATAGTATATACAATAGATTTTAGTGATGGCATTTAGCATTAATGCATTTGAATTGCAAGTGTCTTCTTTTGTTTATTCATGTGAACTGGTTTGCATCATGCATGCTGGTGTGTGGTCGGATCATCTCTCGCTCTGTATTGTGACATGAACATTAATGCTCTTCTGTCCTCTCAGGTCTTCCCACAGTCACTCTGGACGTTTGTACCCCAGCTCAGCCGCTCCAGCAGAGCCGCGGGCTCCTGCCGTGTCCCCCGAACTGCCCCTCCGGAGCCCCTCAGACCCCGAGCCAACCGGCCCCTCCGCCGCTGCTGCCGACCCCAACTCACACACACACACACTCTCACACACACACTCACACACAGCACGCCATCAGCGCGCACAATCACATGCTGCCTCAGGTGAGTCCTGGAGTCACTGTCAATCTGATGCACACATTATCATACTAAACATGATTTTAACTGCTCTTTAAACTTACATTGATTAGCCCTAAAAAATATTTTAATACATCATGCTACTTGAGGTCTGAAAAAATCACAAAATATCACAGCAGCAAGTGTCATTTGTTGTGAAATAAGATGCACAAACACACGTTACAATCCAAACATTTCGTAAAACAATCAAAACGTCAAAAAGAGGTTTGAGAAGTTTAAAATAAAATAGATATCATTTTGAAAATTACGAAAAACGAAACACTCAAACATGAATGAAAAAAGACAAAACAAGCCCAAACACAAAGTCCTTTAAGAAAATGATTGATCGTGATGATACATGCACAAATTTCTTTGGTAAATTACTAATTCTAAATTGATAATTTAGGAGATAATTATTTTCATTTGGAAACTATATTTTTCATTTGTGTGTGTGTGTGTGTGTGTATCTACAGTATATATATATGTGTGTGTGTGTATGTATATATATATTAGGGCTGGGCAATTTAACACGTTATTATCACGTTAACGCATTAATGCTATTTCGTATTTAGTACAGATTGGCCACGTACACACTGCAAGTTTCAGGAGTGAAGCTGCATTTAAATGCTGGAGTGATTCCCGTAAATTATCGTTCCATGCGTGTAGGTAACAGCAGTCACTCCCGCATTTGTAACCATAGCAACATTTTGGCATCTTGCAGGAGTGAATACGAATTTAGCCATTTGATATCTGCCACTTTTTGACTAAAGACTCTTTTTGTCTGTCTATTTTAACTAAACTACCGCTGATAGATGTGCTGTGTTTTGTTAATGCTCGGGAGGCTGCTTTAGAGAGCGCTGTCTTGCAGTGTTGCCATGTCCTCATATTTACAAGCACTTTTAGGCATGTTGTTTGGTCTTAGCTTTATGGAGTTAATAAAGTGGTCTATTGCGGATATGAGATACATGATTTTTTTGCAACGGATTAAGTAATACACATCGGACTCAGTGTGCAAGTTTTCTGTGCGTGACGAATTTTTAGGATGACGAATACGAAAAAACGCATATGAAAATTGCGGACTTCGGTGCAAGGACCTTTAATGCGGTTGTCGAATGCGGTTGTCACTCCCGTATTTTAATGAATTATGTGTGTACAGAACGCGATTAAGGAGTAAAAGGTGAACTGACAACTGAATTTAGCTGCAGTGTGTACGTGGCCATTTAGTATTTGAGTTTCTCCATGAACAGAACATTCTTCTCTAAGCTCTCCTCCTGAGCTCTGAGTCTGTTCCTCTGTTCTCTCTGTGTCTCTGCAGCCGTCTGCGCAGGCTGTGTCTTACTCAAACCCTTCGTGCCCTCAGGTCATCTTGCCTGTTTCTCCTTCCCAGCAGTACAACATGGTACTTTACCTCTCCTCTCTCTCCTGAATCTTTCCCTTCATTTCCCTTCATCTCTTCTGCTCTTCAGCTGGATATTGTATTAAGTAGTCATTTTTTTTGTGCTGAGCAGAAATAAGCACATTATATTTTTGTCGATGAGCATGTATTAATTGTTCTGTACCAAAATGTGTTATTTGAGATGTAAAGGTTTTGAATTGTCCTCGTACTACTACTACTATTCTACGTGGATGAGTTTTATTTTAATTTAGTTTAGTTTATTCATTTATTTATTTTATGCTTTTTTTATTGCATTTTATATTGTATTTTGTCATATTGTATTTTATATTTACATTATTTCATGTCCTGATTCATCTACTCTAGGTGGATGATCTTCTCTTTTTTTTTTTTTTTTTCTACCATGAGGAGTTGCACATTGAATTTTGTTGTACGAACATTGTACAATGACTATATTATTTTTATTTTTAAAATTATTTTATACATTTTTGTATTATTATATTTTATTTTATAACTGTTTTGTTTTAGTTACATATGTATTTAGTATATCTTCAGTAGGTAAGGCCATCCCAGAATGCATTGACAAGCTCATTGAAAATTGTAAAATTGCTGTGCATCTCTGTGCATGATTTCAGACCAGTCACTTATGAAGCTCCATAACTGTTAGGATGCTGCCTATGTAGACAGTGAAGTTGCTCAGTAGGGTTTGAAGCGGCTCATGCTGATCTCTCTCTGTCTCTGTTCAGGGAGATGAGTTGACTCCAGGTTTTGGGCAGATGTCTCTCAGCCGTCAGAGCTCCAGCGAGGCACCTGAGCCACCCAGCCTATACCAGCCTCAGCCCGCCGTACTCTTGCAATTCTGTGATATATAAAACTCAGAATTGCGAGGTATAAACTTTTCTGAGAAGAAAAGTCAGAATTGTGAGATAAAAATGACCTGTTTTATGTTTTTCATTCCGTGGCAGCAAAAAAACTAATAATTTTGCAAGATATAAAGTCAGAATTGCGTGCAGTTGTGAGTTTATAATGCACAATTCTGTCTAGAAAGTCTGTCTTATGAAATAAAATGTTGCAATTGCCAGTTTTATTTTTATTCCATGGCAGAAAGAAAAAAAAACAATTGCAAGAAGTCAACTCAGAATTCTGATTAAAAAATAATAATAATTCAGAATTGTGAGAGAAAAGATCAGAATCCTGAGTTTATATCTCACAATTGTGACTTTTTTTCTCAGAATTGCAAAAAACTGTCTGAATTGTAAGATAATTGTCACAATTACATTAATTCATTCTGTGGCAGAAATGGGCTTCCATACATTTTAACATATTACAATAGAAAATCAGTTTTTTACATTGTAATAATATTTCACAATTTTTTACTGTATTTTTGATCAAATAAATGCAGCAGCCTTGGTGAGCAGAAGAGACTTTCAGAAACATAAAAATCTTACCCACCTCAAACTTCTGAATGGTGTGTATTTCACAAATACTGTGCGGTATACAGTAACCAACATTAACCTGTAGCTCTGAATCATGTTTGTGTTGCTTCATCATCGTCTGCTAAATGCCTTCAGCTCCAATCCCGAGGTGAAAAGCTGTAATTTCCAGTCTAAAATATTAGCAGACTCTCTTTCGCTCTCTGAAGAGGAAACAGGAAGTTGTCATAGCAGTGATGGAAAACTTTAGTTAGAAAAGGAAGTGTGAGAAGATGCTGAATGTGATTGTTGTAAAGGAATGTTTGTGTTTGTGAATCACAGTTTCTGCTGCGCTTTACACCGAACGGCTGATAAGAATCGGGAGAAGCATTTATCCTATGTTAGATACATTTGCAGAAACTGTAATAATGAAAAACTACTAGGGCTGTCAAAAAAAAAATTCGAGTTTCGAATATTCGTCGAATTTAAAATATAAATCCACATTCAAATCCAAAAACGTTTAGGTGTGCGTCAGGCAGCTTATCAGTGGCACACGAGATGCGATGACGATGTAGGTGTCGTTGCATTTTAATGCTTTTTTTAACCTATCCAGTTGAAGCCACTAGATGGCGCTGCTGCGTTGTTCATTCAAAATGTTGCGGAAAAAGAGAACATCAATGCGGAGAAGATCTCGTTTACATCAAAACTGACACCAAGCCGTTCACACTAGAGCTCGACCGATATATCGTTTTGCCGATATTATCGGCCGATATGAGCCTGTGTTTTTCAGATTCAGACATTTTTAGCAATTATCATTTTGATGAACTGATATCGATTCTTAAAACCCAACAATCAATCTCTGCTATTTTCAGTAGATGTGATATAAGTATATGTGATACATTGTGATATAATTAATAAATGACTCATACAGTGATATTAGATTTTGGTCCTTGCGCGCACCGCTATAATCAACAGTAAATCACAGTCTTTATATTCCATCAGAGCGTCTTTGTAATATGAGCAGCACATAATACTCAAGACTGTGTCTGTGTGTGTGTGTGTGTG